TATATACAATTACGTGTATATATATATATATATATATACGGAATATCCTGTACAAGTTTCCAGTATTGCGGGAAAAAGAATTAAAACGAATTAACGAAACACTTTTATCTATAGACACTTTATCCGGTAGGAAAATATATGTGGTGTCAGGGATAACATTTTATGCGTCAACAGTCCTCCATAATGTTGGACTTACGAGACACTCTGTAGAACATTCGCTCCGGACAGCCCTTCGATCTGTTCCTCGACGCGAGACATTGTCGTTAATTCAATTCCGTCATCTGATAACATCCCTCAATACTACGAAACGTGTGTCTTATTTATCGAAATCAGTCAGATTTATTATTATTATTAAACTTTTCATTTACTTCCCAAATTAATTATACGTTTCTTCTGTCAAGCTTGCAGTTGCATTTCAGTTGATTACAAAACAACGCACGATTGCAATCTCTTATCGAGAAAACGATTTCAATTTTCCAAACGCGAGAGATATGATCTTTATTTATTGCAAGCACATGGTAGAGAAGAGGTGTTACCAGGTTGACGAGTCAGCATTTCTCACACAACTTATGTATAAAGACCTAAATATTAATTATTCGTAATCATTGCGATTAACGACCCGCGAGAGGTAGCGGACGATGTAACTAACTGGGTGTGTATGTATATAAATATATTGTGTGTGTATGTATGTATATATATATATATACACGCACACATTATATTATATTGACTCATGTATATAAGTCAATTTACGGGTTGCATTCTTTGGCTATTAAATATATTCTAATTACCATAAAGGGACAGAATGCGGGGGAAGGGAAACGGAAAAAGAAATCGACGGATATACATATAGTGGACTTGTATATATACACATAATGCAGCTCTGTACATGCAAACTCGACATGTATACATAAATATAAATGTATATTTTATGTACTTATACTTATATATATAGGTACATAAAATAAAAAAGGAAGAATGAGTTAGGTTACAACTTGCTGTATACAGTATCTCTGAGCAACTCGGCGAGCTGAAAGTAATTCCGAGAGCCTGAAATTCCGTTCTGTTTGCATTTTCACCGTGCGTCACGCGGCAATTAGACGTTACTCTTAATAAACGCGTCGCGTATGAATTCCATATTTCCTTGTCTCTTGAGCAAAAAAAAAAGATTGCTCTTGCACTCACATGTCGATTGAAAAAAAATTATTTGAAAATATAACAGACGACAAAATTCGACAAAGCGGACCTGCCAAAATAAATCCCAATTGTGCTAGCTGTTAAACAATCTTTTCTTTCTTAATTTATTTTTTTTACGTTTTGCGGTAATATTACATTAGTATTGATAACTTTTCGTATATATGTATATACCCAGTGAACAGACACTGTCCGCAGTATAAACAAATTGATAGATGCTCGTAAACCAACAGATTTAGTATCATTTTTGTCCGCATTAAACTTATGCTTTGCCGGCAGAGCTTATTGATTATATATATTCTATTTATCAAATCCTGCTCGATTTCTCTAGCCAATTTATATCAAACTGTAAAGCAAGTATGCCAAAGCTTTTCGTCATTAATGTGTCATCCTAGTTTGTTAACAAACTATCAATGTTACTGCATATGTCAGATCCTATATCAGATCTATAATATTTTCACTAAGAAAATTCATAACAAATACTTTATAGAACCAGTTTTCAACAGTTTTGGCTCGAGTGTGTGTGCATATATATTCTAGCAAACTACCATTGCATCGTTATTATAATTTCCTACTCAGCAATATGTAATATAATATAACATACGTTATATGTAACATTGGTGAGTAGAAAATTGTAACATCAATATAATATCATTACTTTGTGTTTACTGGAATATACAAAGGCGTGCACGAAAAGAAATCAATTTCTCGTCAAAAAGGACTTCTATCACATTTAAATCTGAAAAAGATAAAAATATGAATGGCAATATCCTGATAAATATGCGTTTGTAGATTAATTCCTGTTATCTTATATATAATTTTTATGTATTGGGAGATACGAATCGTCGTGCTAGATTGCAATTGCATCATGACATTAACAAATTTAATGCATAATTGTCGGACTTATTTTTCCAAAATTTTTCCTTGCAGGTTATATTTACGTTTCGCGGAAACGCGGTTTACTTCCCGCCACGTGGATCCGCGCGCCTGCGCGCAGAACGGCCAGGTTTAACTCTGACACTGAGCGGCGTGACCTCGAGCTGCTCGTCGAGTTGTTCTTTCATTTTCATACACAGACGTTCACCGACCGCGACTTCCCTTTAATTTTTTCTCTGGCATTTTTACGCGGGAGATTCTGGATTTTTGTCTTCAAGGTAAGGAGAATCGGTTGGATTCACTTAGGGTTCATCTCTCCCGACATCCTTCGCGTAGCTGGAGATTTATGGATATGTCGCGAGCGACAAGTATTACACTGTCGATATTTACATAGATTTCATTGTGGCATTTCATCGTGGATCCGCGTCCGTAAGTTTGGACAAATAAGCCAACATTTGTATTCGCCAGTGATTTGTATGAACTGCTGTAAATATTGTAATTTCTTTGGTCGATCCGTTATGGTTTAGATTAAGTTCTCTAAGGATAGGATAATGTACGAACGAAATAAAAGAAAATTGAGAACAAATACGCTTAATACAGAATGAACCGTTCCTTGAGGTGTTCAAGAATGCATCTGCAATCGGATCTGCATTGGATTTCTTTTTTGTAGTTCATTGTAGCAAATCATGCACTTCATTGTATCTGTACTGCAAGTTTGCTACATGTAGATGATTTGATTAATGTTTGATTAATGCCAGCCTGAATGTCTCTGATGCAATGGCACAAACTAAAATAGATCAGTTCTATAAAATTATAAGTAGCAATAGAAAATGTGAAAGTGTAAAAAAAGGTATTGATAAGAAATCATCTAATACGAGATTCTCAATAATTGGCAAGACGGTGAGTTATAAGCTGTCTATCACTTGATACATAATAATAATTTAAGTTACAAAATGATTATTTTATCTTTTTGTTATAGAAAGAAGGATTATCAAGCAAATTAAAAACTTCTATATATAAGAATAAACAAACTACATCCAAAATGAGTGAGAAACAAAAGAAGCAAAATAATCTCTTGTCACACAATGAAACGTCTCATTTGTGCGAAGCTTATAATAGTCCAACTAAAGCTATAGAAAATTATAGTCCAACTAGAGTTATAGAAAGTACAACAGTAACATCATCAATTGCTAAATATACTTCCCCTATCAAAAGTCAACAACAAACTCCTATAATGCATAGTGGCACAAAATTCACACCAAAGAAATCATCTCCAATAAAAAATGCATTAGACAATTCATCAGAACATGCAAAGATAGTGCGAAAGAAGTTATTTAAGGATAGAATTGATGAGTTAATATCTAAAACAATAAAAAATCTAAACTTGGCCAAGGAAGGAGCCATTGCTGACAATAACATTAATTTGGAAAAAGTTTACTCAAGTGGAAAATTTAACTTAGAATACAATTCTATAGATACTACAACTTCGACAAGATATGAAATTAATGATGTGATTGTACCTGTAGACACATATTCGTTACATTTTTTCTTAGTCATTGTTACTGTATTCTCCAATCCCATCAACTGCGGATATTTCGATCAGGACGAGAGAGATTTGATATTTTCGCTCATCACCCTTCAAAGCCGCGAGCAAGCATTATTGATACGTATGCTAAAGAGAAAATGCATGTGGCGCAGAATAAGCAATATTAAATATGATGAGATAGCTAGTGATCTAAAGCCTATTTTTGATAAACTTATATCACGATCTATTTTTAAAAGTAATATGGAAGAAGAAGATATATCCGTTTTGTTAAATTTGCTGCAAGTCGATGAACTTCGCAAGCTTTGTCAGGAATTAAAGATCAACAGTAGTGGAAAGAAGGAGAATCATATACAATCTATTCTAACATTTTGTCGCAAAACGAAATCATTGTTTCCTGGAATGTCAAGTCCCGCCACTAAATTACGTGCATCAGTGAATAAGCGCCTGGGGGATTGTATATTATTGAATATTAGAGTGAAAGAAATAGTTGATAGAATAATTACGTTGCTGATACCCAATCGAGATCCTTTTGAAACATTAGCGGACATATTCCTAATGTTATTAAGAGTTTCGACTGATCAAATCAAATTTCCAGAAATAACCATAAGTGACTTTCCTATTTTCGCTAGTAAAGGACATCTGTTAAAGTATGCGATATTATTATTACTTTATTTTATGAATTTCTATAATTTTTTCATACTTAAATTTTAAATCTTATATCTTATAGTTATATCGAGGCTAAAAATACATTATTTAATGTATTAAGTGCAATCGAGGAAAAACAATGGGAAACTGTACGAAGTCTTGGAACTATAGCTGCACAACATTTATCGCTTTTTTTAGAAGCTGAATCGGAAAGGTAAGCAAAATTAATAAAATATATCTATTCACAGTAAATTTTCATTATAAAATGATTTAGGTCTATCTAATTACAGTCTTCGAGATTCTACTCTGCCTCGCCACATTAGGCGTTTTATGCCGGGTTATATGTGGCTTAAAGTCTTGTCCAAAAGCATTGACGCATTTAAAAAGACTAAAGAAACGATGTCACAAGCGATAGAATATTTGCAAATATTAATAAATCAGAATTGTCATATGAAAAATAGAAAAGGTCAATGGTACAGCGAGTTAATCAAGATAGAAATGTATCACAGAAAGAATCTTGATGCGAGTGTCGAGATATTATTGGACGCGATATCATATGAGAACTTAACGGAAGTTGACAGATTAGATTTATTCGAGAGAGCAGAGATGATTGCTAAGAAAAAATCCGACATCAGCGAACAGACCAGAAATGCTATTAAATATATATTGGCCAATGTACCTAGCAAGACGCTTACATTCCAGAATTCTATTACGATAAAAGGCATTTTGTGTGGGTAAGTTGTAAAATAAATGTTACAGTTTCTTAAGAAAAGTAATATTAATAAGGTAATAAGATATTTTATGCTTTCGAACCTTTATTATGCATACGCGCACGTGCGTATGCAAGAAAGAGCGAGAAAAAAGAAAAGTTATATGCATGAAAATTTGGTAAATTTTGATTTGTTAATACAGACAGAAATAAATTGAAATGAAATCCTTTCATGGATTATTTATGCTATATATTACTAATAAAAACTTATTTATAAACTCACAAAATATTGATATACAAAGCTACTGCAGTTTCACTCATAACACAGTGTAAATCATATAGAACTATGGTTTTACAAATTACAGATGATTTTTTTATATATTTAATTGAGTCAAATGATATTGTATTTTGGAAGTTTTCCAACATATTTATATAATAAAAAAATCTAATATAAATTAATAATAAGTGACAAAGTAGACAAAACAAGCTGAAAAAATACTTTTATTGCTATGAAATATAAATAATAGCACTTTATTGACTATAGTCAGAAATTATAATGTTCTTTAATCCTTTCATGTTTAGCATTTAAAGGTGCTTTAAAAATTTGTTCGGTATGTGTTGTTCGTATCTAAATTTAGCCATTTGATGCTATTGTCACCTTTAAATACTCTATTAATTAACATTGTTCAGCATATATATGTTTTTATTATAATGCAGTTCCATACTTGATGATTGCTTCTCTGCAAAATGAACGCTACAAGAAAGTTTTACCCTTTATAGCGTTGATCGCAAACATTTGCTGTTTATTACGCGCGCTACGTATTAAAATCTGCCATAGCGAAAAAAAAGAACATCTTGATATCTTTATTCGTTCTCAAATTAAGCCAGTTAAACTATATATGATTGCATATGATTTGAAAAAAATCGCATTTAAAGTTTTGATATAGTTTCTTTTAGAGTAAAATATTTCAACTTACATATCAATTAAAAATATAATATAAATAGCCTGCAAAAGAATTTTATATTCCATTCATTCCACCGAGGTATGTGATATAGGGAGTTATTTATGGACAAAATGAAGGATAGGATTTGAGGACGAGAAGATATGAAGGAAAAATTAAAAATTAAAATGAAGAAAGCTATGTTAAAATGTGTTAGGAGGAAAAGAGAGTATACAAGTGGAGAGATCAATATAGAAAAAAAAGAGAAAAGTGTTACAATAGGAATACGAGTGGAACATAGAGGCTATAGAAAAGGATTTAACAATGGGGAAAGGAATTGTGAAGAATTAATTTGAAGAGAAAGAAATATACAGAGGCAATGGGAAGAGAGTAAAATTCGAAGTGCTAGGTATAATAGAACATTATGTAAGAAAATGCCAGAGAACTAAAGTTAATGAATGGTGTTAGGTAAGAACAAAGAGGTAATCATAGGAAGATTATGAGAGAAAAAGTTAGATTGAGAAAAAGGGAAAGTTTTAAGGAAAGTGTGGAAAGAAAGGGAAAGAGAATTAAAGAAAAAAAGCGAAGAAATTAACAATAAAAGCGAAGAAAATAAACAAGATTAAAAACAAGGGGAGAAAATAAGTTTTTCGCAAAAAAAGGATTGTGATAAGAGAGGCTATGATAGATAGGAATAAGCAAGTAAATAGTAGGCAAATAGGATTGAATAGGAAAGATGAGCAAAAGTTACAAATAAGCGAAAAGAATAAAGCAAAGAAGATAAGTAAAAACAGGTATAGTGTACACAGGATAGATAATAAGATATGGGAGGATGAGTATGGTTTAAAATAATTAATTTTGTAAACCATGTCCTCTTCTTGGACTGTAAAGCTGTGCAAATAAATTCTATTCTATATCCAATTCATTCCTATGCTTATATTAACAAATCAAAGTT